CAGGTTTTCACATCTCACTGTGAGCCGAGAGCGCCCTAAACCCAACCAAACCCACCCTAAGCACCCTAACCCACTCTAAACCCCTAAGCCCAACCTAAACCCCCATCCTAATCCCAACCTAAACCCAGCCTAAACCCAGCCTAAACCCAGCCTAAACCCACCCTAAACCCACCCTAAACCCACCCTAAACCCACCCCTACCAAACACCCTTAACCCACCCGAAACCCCTCTAAGCCATCCCAAACCCACCCTAAACTCACCCTAAACCCACTCTAAAGCCAAACCGTCCCAAACCCCACCCTAATCCCAACCTGAACCCACCCTAAACCCATGAACGTAGATATTCGACAGAATTGCCCCGGCCCCACTTTCTGCTATTTCCTCAGGGTCGGGGCTGCTCCGCCCATGGACGCCGTGGGCAGCTCGGTCGGGGGCAGTCAGGACTCATCCAGACGGAGGATGGTTTCCCTTGCAGCGGTGTCTTGTGGCTTGGTAGTGGCTTCCCTTGTGTCCTCTGGATTGCAAATTAGGAGCATTCATCCGCCCCTATTTTGGACACTGCAGGATCCGGTTTTCGCGAAGAACCTACTGTAGGCCAACATGCAAAGCCCGTCCGCGATGTTCAATGCGAAGGCATTGAACATCGGGATCCGGGTGAGTTTTGCTGCAACAGAAGTGTTGCACTGGCGTGCACAAACTGCCCAGTGGTTCCAGTTCCCAGGAAAGATAACCAGGGCAAACGTAGGTAAAACATCCTGGTTCCACTTGGGTGGCCACTTGTCATCCTTTTTAGGCATGGAGGTGTCAAATTGAGGGGAATATTTTGTGGCTCTAAAGGGGAGCCGAGAGGAAAACCACGATTTGGAGGGTTCCCCACGTGGTCATACCTGCGGTTTCGTGCAGAGAAGCCTTCAGGTCGATCGACTGCGGCAGAAGCACTCCAGCAGTGCCATGAGTACTGCCCCCGCCCGAGGGGGCTTTCGGGGGACTCAAGCGAGAGGCATTGCTTTTCGATGGCACGTCTTACTTGTGGGAAGGAAGTCTACAAGTCCATGATGGCGTTTCATGGAATGCGTCGGGCACGCGCACGAGACAGATGATAGTTCGGCCTTTGTGCATGTTCATTATTACTCAGTTCGTTTTTTTTTTCTTTTTGTTTTTTTTTTCCGGTTGTAGCTGGACATTCTATAAGAAATCCGCGTGTCCGCGTGGTTGCTCCACTGCCAACAATCCACTCCCACTCCACTCCCATTCCCGTGGCTTTTCCTTGCGTGATGCGTGACGCTGAGTCAGGCGAGCGTGGAGGACTCGAGCACTGGCCGCTGCCTCGGATGGAAAACACATCGAACCGAGGAGCCACGTTCTGACCAAAATCTGGGGCGAAGGGAAGGGAATCATTCCTCTCACATTGAAACCTAACGTTTTTTAGGGTCCCTTCAAGATGAAACCTAACGTTCTTTAGGGTCCCTTGAGGACAATGGTTTTCAATCCCAGCCTCGTCAGGTTCCATGTTGGTGGGAGGGGAATCCCAACCAAAAATGGGTGCCGCTTGCTCAGTGAGTGCTTTTCATTGGTTCCATTTTACTGCCGATCGGTTTTGAGTATACTCAATTTTGACCTTTTGGTTTTACCATCCGTGTTTCAAGGTCCCCGAAGTTGATCACCTGTTGTTTCAAGCTTCTTCGGCGAGATTATGCTCACTCCGGAAGTGTCTCTGCTGTTTTTTTTTGTAACCAAACCAAACATGGAAAGCAGACCGAACATTGTCCTCTTGAGTATTCCCCGAAGTTTATCACCAGTTGTTTCAAGTTTCTTCGGCAAGCTTATGCTCATTCCGGCAGTTTCTGGGCTGACTTTTTGTCCCTGGTTTTGATATGTTTAACTCGTATCCCTCTTCGAGGACTTTTGAAACCCTCCACCATATAGAGGTTTATTGGGGCCCCGTTCCCAACCCAACCGGGGGTGTCCGAGCGTAGAAATTCACCCCGTTTGGTGGGTTCTTGGGGACACGTGCCCATTTCTTGTGAGGCAAATGAAAAGGAGGCCTTTTGCAACACTGCCAGTATGTTTGTCGCAGACAGACATACTGGCTTGGAAAGAACTTTGTCCAAGCTCAGTCTCCGCAAAAATCATTGCAATTCAAACCTGGCCCTATTCGGAGCGTGCAAATGCCGAACTGGGTTCTGGGGCCAATCCGCAGAAGTGAGCATGGGTGGTTCTCGCAATTGGAGACCCATTCTCATTCCCTGAGTTCCCGGACTTTAACTTCCATTTGCTTAAGAATATTGTTTATTTTCCCCTGTTAGTTTTAAAGGGAATCTATCACTGCTGGAAATCTGCTATTTTTTCGGAGGGCTTAAGCAAATGCATTTTAAAAAAATGGAAAGACAATTTTAGTGGTAAGAAAAAACTGCAGACTTTGTTTGGCCAGTCCACTCAAGAAGTGAGCATGTTACGGTGGGTTTCCTTTTGGCCTCCCTTTAGAATTCTCTAAAAAGGGCTCCGCCGTTTTGACAAAGCCGCGTATCGCTGTGCTTGATGGTTGCTTGCCTCTAGGTGTCTGCGAAGGCAGCGGCCAAAGCACGCCCTCCTCAGCTGCTGCACCGCAGATCAGGCGGAATTCGGCCGACTCGCAAGGCATGGTCAAAAGACCCACTTACTTGCAGAGAAGCCACATCCAACCACAAAACCGTATTGCGGGTTCTCCTTTCCCCCGACTTGCAATATTCAGGGCGTCAGCCGCAGGGACGGTCTTCATCCCCTTCAAAGGGGTTTTAGCCAACCATTGTAACGTATAGCAAGTTTTTGGGCGCCATTCCAAGGAGCTTTGACCATGACGGGCATCAAGCCGCTTTGTTTCAGGGGGAAGTCCTTTCAAAGGGCACGGCGAAGGGCGAAGGGCTGCGTCCGCTTCGCGGGACAAGTTCTCCAGGTACACTACGGTCGATGGACTACAGCTGGACATTCCAGCAGAGGAGAGAGGGGAGAGCTGTTTTCGCTGGCTTAAGCTGAGAATACTTTGGTGCATGCCAAGGGATGTTAGGACTTCACAGTTTTCCGTAGTAAACCACTAAAAGTTCGTCACTTTCTTCAGCTTTTTGCCCACGAATGGGGGTTTTCCGTATTAAACCACGAAAAAGGCTCGTCACTTTCAGCAGGGCTTCGCAGAGTTCGCCGAGAATCGCTCCGGCCTTCGGCGTTTTAGCCGAGCTGCGCTCCGGCGCGGTCTCTGGGTTTGGGTCTCTGGGCTGATCCCCAGCTTCTTTAAATATGGAATTGGGGGAAGGGGGTGACCCCTAGAGATCTCCATTTGTTGTTCCATTTCCTTTGTGAGGGGAATCTCCATTTATTGGTCCATGTCCAGACTGGGGGAAGACTAGATCACTGGAATTCTGGACCCGGGTCCCACCCCCCTTTTTTTGATGGTAGGGGGGGGATCTGGACTGATCCCGCGGCACGTCTCACAGGAGGATTTGGACCTCGCGGCACTCCTCAACGGGAGGTGGTTGCATTTGCTCGCTCTCGGAATCGCCAGCAGTTTCTGATCATGTCCAGGTCCCGCAATTGGTGCCCGTTTCTCAACCCCTTTTTTGGTCTAAAATCGGCTACAGAAAAAGGATGGTACCCTTATTCCAATCTCTGCTGCAGGAGCTAGATGTTATCCTTGGTGGTTTCCCTTGCTGTAGTGTCCAGCTGTGGAAGAGGATTGGAGTTTCCCCCACTTTGAGCAACCCAGTTTGAGGCCTGATTGTGTCATACGGCCATTTGGATTCTGATTGTGCTCAAGACGGGGGATTCAGGAGCGTGCAATGCGGACGTCGGAGAAGTGTTGCTCAGGCTGATTCGTTGGATTAGGCATTGGCTTTGGATGTTCTGAGCAATGAATGTTTGGGATTAGGGTAGGAATTTTCCCGGATCGCTTTACACAGCTGAATTGGGGATGGTTTGGGCTGGGTTCAGATCGGCCTAGGTTGATCAACCATGGCGCAAGCTTGGAACCCTGTGGCTCCTAAAGCCACTCGCTCCCACTCGGGTTTTGAACCTTTTTGTGACAAAAGGGTTCAAATCGAAGCCAGCAGATCCACTCGCCCCCCAATTTTTGTGACAAAAGGCTTCAAATCGAAGCCAAAAGATCCACAAGAAAACCGTGGGTTCTCTCCAAAAATGTTGCGACGCATTCGCTTGCACGTCATTCTGTGCCAGGTAGCCGAACGGTGAGTGCATGCGGTGCAAGCGGTGACCCAAACGCGGCTGCCGGAAAATATGGGTTGGCCGGGTCCAGAGGTTTGCGCTATGGCCTTTCCTGGCCATGTATTTCTTGGTAATGGTATTTTAGTTGTTGTTGTTTTTTTGCGAATTCCTCCAGAGTAATCCGATGTTCTTCGGATCAATCTGGAGGAGCTCTCAAAAATTGTTCATCTCCTAGATGGGGATAACATGAGATCTTACAAAGTTCGAGATTTCTCACGGTGAAGGTTCCGTTTTTCGGCGTGCGCCTTTCTGCCTGGTGAATTCTTGAATAGTTCTTCCATTTTGCGTGCAATGTTGTACTATGGATGGACGAAAACTTGAACCACCTAAGAAAGCCTGGAATGGTGATTCCCCTGTAAATACCAACAAACAATGGTGTCCCATGGTTTCAAAGTGGTGCGAACGGATCGCCCATCCACAGTAGTATGAAATCCTGCGCTGCATGATTTCGCTTGCTGGTTTGTCACGTTCGTGCAGGCTCAACAGCCGGTGTGACACGCCAGAGACACTTTTGTTTAGCCGCCTCGGTCTCCTGAAGTCATTATCAAGGCTTTTCTGGTTTTTTCAGGCATAGGTACATGTGCCAACGTGCACCTCCGATGAATTGAAGACACACCTTGACAGACACATGGCTGTGGATCAAACATTGGTACCCAAAATGGTACATGGAAACAGGGACTGAAACCTGGGGGGTTGTGGTACCCCTGGTGGTTTGATTTTGACCCATACCCATATCGCTGCCTCAGGACTTTAATTGCCCTCCAATGATCGTAGCGTTCTCATGGCGGATGTCGGAAGCGTGTCCTGACTAGGCGGGGCGTAATCCAGCGATGCACCAGAAAACTGTAAAGGTCGCCTGACTTGTTTCCCCTTCGCAAGGGGACGCATGCAGGATTGTTCTTCCCCTGGCTGCGTTATCCCTGATTGCTTCCAGTTGTCACTATGGTACTAGTAGCTGGCCAGAAGGACATCGTGCAAGGGGTAAGAATGCCTGGCACACTGGCTACCGGGACTGGAACGCGCTGGACTTTTCAGAAACAATGTTGGTTTCAGAGCTCGAGTACGCTAATGTTGACCCCGGATCAATAAACCCCAGTGTATTCGTATGGGAGTCTCGGAGGGTTCCTCTGCAGTGATAAATCCCCACGAAGACCAGGAGTTTATCCGGGGTCAATATGATGAACCGCTCCAGGCGATGCACGCGCTCGGGCCTCAAAGGCGGCATATTTTGCCGTTCTGAAGAAGCTGAATTTGTGAAGAGGTGTGCCTTTCTCCCGTCTACAGACACGTTTTCGCGCGCAATGTGTGTCGAAACAATAGGGACCCGTTTCCCCCCCCCCCCCCCCCAAAAGTAAAACAGGGGGAAAAGGATGTATCATGTGACGTTACAAGGAGCTCGGTCGCATTATAAGCTTTTTGTCCTCCCCCCAAAAGAATAGATCAATAATAATAACAAAAATAATAACGAAAAAATATGAAATGGTGGTTTCTTTGGGTTTCCTTTACTTCACCCCCAGAGGGGGTACCTTCTTCGCCTCAAAGAAGACACCATGGCCTGGGTTTCCATTCGCCTCACGAGGCATTCGGCGCCCATGCTGCCCGCAGGCTGATGCGGGTGTGGCGTGGTTTTCTTGGTCGGCTGCTTGTAAAAGAAAGAAAAAGAAGAAAACAAAAGTGGGTGCTGGAAAAAAACAGGTGGTTGCTTTCAAAAAAAAGAAGAAAAAACAGGTGGTTTCCCCACAGCTCTGGAACTTCCTGGAACCCTCCAAAACCCCTTAAAACCCTCCCTGAAAGCTTCCCCAAACCACCCCAGAGCTTATCTGGGCAGAGACCCCAAATCGCTTTCAGCTGTTGGGGAACAAATATGTTTTGTCTTTTTTTGTGGCTACTGGCTGGGTAGGGAGCTTAAGTGAGCAGGGGTTATCTATTCAACGAACAAACGTAGGTATCACTGGTCTTTGTGATGTGCTCAACGGTCGGGGCATGTTGCAGCCAAACAGTGCTACAGAAGGCAAAAGGGTGGTGTCCATGCACCAGCCAGAGAGCTGAATTGTGGGGTACAAAAAGAAACTAAGCTGAGTTATCATAAAGTAACTGTTTGTTGCCCGGAGCCTCCCGGTGTTCATGTTCAGCTTGCCAAGGTAGCTGAGCTTGCAGCATGGACACAAATTGGAGGGAGACCCGAAAAGTGGGTTTGATTGAGCATTGGGGGACCCAAAAACAGTTGCCGTGTTTGGCTGTTAGTTTCCCTTTCAAAACAACCCCAAAAGGTGTACTGTACCCCTAAACCAAAAAAACAAACGTATCCTGGTTTCACTGATCGCCGATGAGCGCCAGGAGATCAACGGGTTGGATCTGTCTGGGAGGAATTGCCACGCCTCTTCCGAATGTCAGGAGTCTGCTCCAAGCTGTCGGGGTTCTGATCTTAGGCATGGCTCGTTCAGGTTGGTGGCTGGTTCAACGACCTTTGGCCCTTCACTCTTTGCCACCCGTCTCGCCCTTACTCTTTGTGTCTTCCATTTGCCTAAGCATATATGTTTGTGATTTTCCCCTGTTGTTTTTAAAGGGAGTGGATCACTGCTAGAAGTATGTCTTGAGTTTTTGTTTTTTTCTTTCTGTGGACTCACGGAAATGGAGGTTGCTTAACACACGGTGGCTGGGGGTCTTCAAGCTTGGAGGAAGCTGCCTTCGGCGGCAGAACACCCGCAGGGGGGGGGGGCCAGGCGAAGAGCAGGCGCGGATCGATGCGGTGTGACTGGGGCATTCAAAGTGAGCATGTTGAGTGGCTCCCCAAATTATGGTTTAAAGAAATGGGGGGGGGAGGGGTTTGAAGAGGATAATGGACTCTATCATCCTCTTCGAAACGGACCCCCCCCCATTTCAGGATGTTGCTTGAATTGACACAGCGTCGGACATAGCGACAGACAGAGAGAGAGCGGAGCGGAGCGGAGCGGAGCGGAGCGGAGCGGAGCGGAGCGGAGTGGAGTGGAGTGGAGTGGAGTGGAGTGGAGTGGAGTGGAGTGGAGTGGAGTGGAGTGGAGTGGAGTCGAGTGGGTGAGGTGAAGTGCGTGCGTGCGTGTGTGTGAATGCTTGCGTGAGTGCCTGAGTGTGTGAGGTGGCGTAAAAAGTAAAGCAATTGAAGGAATACAAAGACCAGAGCAGTCCGCCAAATTCTCTCCGGCTGTCAGGCGGGCCTTGTGGTTCCCCCCCTTGTGCAACTGCCAGCCTCTCAGTATCCGATGAGGTTCGGTCAAACATCCAGCACTATGAGGGCCTGAGAAGAGACTAGTATGTGTGTGTGTGTGTGTGTGTTCTCTGGGCATGAGTGTGAATTTGGCAATTTCAGCCACAAAACCAAGGGACTGTCTGACGTAAGAAGTGTCTAACAAAAGACATAAGATGTTCATAGCCGGGGGACATGCCTTGTCACCCTAATGGGGCGTCCAGGGATGCCCCTGTTTCAGATCTAAGTGGGGTTAAATCAGGATGGTGATGCGTCAATGGCATGTCTATGTTGCTTTGCTGCATGTTGCTAAGGGATGTTAGGACTGAACAACTGTTTCCCAACTACTGGTGGCTTTCGGTCAAACCACTAAAAGTTATAAACTTTTGGTGCATTTTGCTTGGATGTTAGGACTTTAACCTTTTTTGCCCATGGGGGTTTCCGGTCAAACCACTAAAAGTTAGTCACTTTCGGTGCATTTTGCTTGGATGTTAGGACTGAACAACTCTTTTCCCAACTACTGGGATTTTCCGGTCAAACCACTAAAAGTTAGTCACTTTCGGTGCATTTTGCTTGGATGTTGGGACTGAACAACTTTTTTCTCCCAACTACTGGGGTTTTCACGTCAAGCTTTCAGGGCGAAGTGCAGTTTCAGCCGGTTTTCCCGAGCTTGGCCCGTGCCAGTTTCTCGGCGCTCAGGCCGCCGGAGCAGTACGCGGACCTGCTGACTGGCTCGGTGAAGTGCTGGTTCGAGGCGCGAAGTTGTGGCTCGGGGAGCTAGGAGTTGGCTGGTCGAGCGCCAACCGCAGAGAAGGGGGGGTCAAAGATTCCTTTACATGGAATTGACCCGACTGCATCTGAACAAGGGTCAATATTTACCGTTGCTTACTGTGGTAGAGGGGATAGCAGCATTTTTGCTTATTGTGGTTTGGGGGGAAATCCCCAGTTAACTGCTAACATGTTTTTTTGTTCTCCCCTTCCAACGTCAACCAAGTGAACGATGGTCAATATGTACCGTTACTTGCGGTTGTAAAGGATAGCATGGGTCACACTCACCACAGTACCATTAGGAAATGCGCTTCTTTTGTTTCACCCTCCGAAGTTGTGTTTTTAAGCCTTCGTTTATTTTGATTATTCAAAGTCTGTTTGGGAACCTTTTTTCTAACCCTCGGATAGCCGTTCTTGTCCAACCTTGTTTTTCTCACCCCAAGCCAACCAAAAACCCACCCGAAACCCGACCTAAAACAACCCAACACCCACCCTGACCACCAATCCTGTGCCAACCTAACCAACCCTAAATCTCTCTAAATCAACCTTAAAGCAACCATCACTAACCTACCCTAAACCAACCCCAAGCCCACCCTGAACCAACCCTGAACCCACCCCAAGCCAAGCCACCCTAAATCAACCCTACACCAACTACACCAACCCTACACCAACCCTACACTAACCCTACACCAACCCTACACCCACCACAGACCTACTCGAAACTATCCTAAACCATCACACACGCCTACAGGTCAAGCGATTTTTCAAGGTACCCCGCGTGCTGAGTCTCTTACATGGCTCCCCCCCATCTTTGTTACCGAAAGGCTCTCAAGCGAGGCTTGTGAAAGGGGTTCTTTTGGGCACCATTTTGAGGTTGTCCTGGTCCATGCTTTTGCACCCATGAACCCTTGGATCTCGAAAGAAATGGTTCAGGTTTGGCAGCCCCAGACTCCTTGACCTTCCATTTGCTTAAGAATATGGTTTATTTTCCCCGGTTGGTTGGAAAGGGAATCTATCACTGCACATAGTTGTTATTTTTTAACCAGGGGTCTTAACCAAATGGAAGTGGCTCTATGAAGAACGGCCTGCGGCTCCGCAAGCGCTGGCCACCGCTGGCAGGACAGGGGCTTTGGGTTCATCCGGCCCGAGGGCGGTGAGGAAGATGCAGCGTGGCTCGGGAGTTAGGACTTGGCCATGGTTGTTGTTTGGAAACATTTTACAGTTTTGCTTATTGTGGTTTAGTTGTTGAAATCCAACCACTTAACAGCTAAAATTGAAATTGTTGCTCCCCTTCCAACGTCAACCAAGTGGCTTGTCGAGCGCCACCCGAGGAGGGGGCGGGGGGGGGGGAGTCAAAAAGTCCTTTGCATGACCACTGGCTAGGTCCCCCACCTAGGTGCCCTTTTACCGACTAAAATGGACTACAGAAAAAAGTTGGTACCCTTATTCTAGCCTCTCTACTGGATGACCATTGGGGAGCCACTGAAAAGATGGCCACTAAGATGATCTTTAGTACCTTTGTTGTGATGATGTTATGACCATTGGGGAGAACCAAAGAGATATTATCCTAAAACCCCAGTCTTCGGTTTTAGTTATCGCCGAACGGGGAGAAGTAAAAGTTGTCAAAAGCTGTGCGCGCGCAAGGAGCGCGCAAGTGCGGCCCAAGGGACGCGTAAGGTTACAGTTTGAAGGGTTTCATGTACTGATGTTGCCTAGCTTCATGAAAGGAGGTGATATTTTCTTGCTGTACTTGTGCTTTTCGAATCAGTCAGATGCCAAACGAAGCCAAAGCTTCTGCGGTCATGACTTCAACAATCAGCAACTGACACGACAAAATCCGCGCAAGCCGCGCGCAAGTTGCGCGCAAGCACGAGAAGCCCCAGCAAGACATCTAGCCATGCTGTCTCGGATGTCCTTAGCGGCGCGGTTCAAGCAATGGATAGGCACCCGCGACATGCACTTTCCTTCTTTCAGGCTGTGTCCAAGCTGTGTGGCAGAGCCTGCTGTTCTTTCTGTTGAGTCAAGGGTATGTTGCTGGCATTGAATTGCCGGGAGCGACCTGAGCGGGAAAAGTCTTTGTGGGTTGCTGTGTGAACGACAAACACACTGCTTAGAAAAGCTTGCGTGCAATCCACACGAAAACTTCGCAAACCGAGGTCAACGAAAACAAGTTTCTGCGCCACTGTGCGCGCGCAAGTCCGCGCAAGTGCCGCGCAAGTGCGGCCCAAGGGCCCAATCGCGGGCAAAGGAATATAGGACAACCCCCATATGTCCCGCAGCAAAGTTCCCCCAAACCTCTCCAAAGGAAAAATTGGTATGGCCGGCTCCTGGGAAGCGATCCAAGTGACTCGGCTCCTTTGCCGTGGCCGTGAAGGCTCCAGATAAAAATTTGCATGGGTTCGAACAGGGCCCCAAGTTCCGACCAACGCGCTTTCACTTTTCCTTCGGCTTCTGTGACGAAAAAACTCAATCAGGTGCCCGGTGGCTCTTTTCTGTGCCTTACCCGTCAAAAGCGGCTGTCTTGAGGTATTTGTACACAAGAAAGACGGGATCTCAGCGCTTGCTTGCTTTGCGCTTTGGGAAAGCTGGCAAAGCTGGCTGCCGCCCTTTGTCCAGCGCGCCTGAGCTGTGTCAATGCGTGCGCCCAGCTGTGTCAATGCGTATCTCGCGAGGTTCTGAAAGATGGGCAAAGCCTCATCGAAGGTAGCCGAAGCCTGAGATCCGCCACGAGGTTGACTTCTGCCCCCGAAAAAAGATGGGAGAACCGGTGAGGGGGGAGGATAGACCGGATGGAGTAACTTTGAACTTGCTCCGACTCCCGGTTGAGGCTCCGTCATGTTCAACTTGACGTATGATGCAGACCGGCGGCGCTTTCAGGCGTGGACTTGGGACATGTTGCATAGCCACCACATTGGTCACGGTGATCGTTCGATGACTTGTGTCGCCATCTTAAACGAAGCTGACAAGGGTAATCAGGATCAAACCCTAGGGTTCTCCGGACATCCGAGCTCCGCGGTACCACCCAGCCACTACTTTTCTTGATGAACTCTCCAACGGTGTTTGGGATGAGCATATCACTCAGGCACTTGGACGGTGAAGATGTTTTGGCCAGTGCCACGAGCAAAGTGTAGCATAGAGCTGGAAGGACTTCAGCCCCCGACCTCCCTCCGAGAATGTAGGGTGGTTCGCTGCCGTTGCACTACAGCTCCGGCAGCACCAATGGGCCATCGATAATTTGTGTGACCATCACTGTCATCTTCTGCCAGCTTGTTGTTTAAAAGCACTATGTTTGTGCCTTCAAAGGATTTAACCATGGTTCGAAGCCAATGGTACCATTTTGGGATAGGTGAATCCACCACCCATTTTAGAACCTATGTTAGTGGTTGGATTGGGATGTTCACTGGGGGTGCGGGGTTTTGACCCATGGCCACCGTCTGAGCTGCCTGCGAAGTGCTTGATCGACGCTGGCAATCCATGCCTCCGCGGCAGGCGACGCGTTGCTTTGGCGCCACCTTGCCGCCGGAAGAGGCGTAGGGCCATCGGAAGGTTAGTAAGGGATACGATTCCGTACAGGGTTCCGGGTAGACCATTTTAATTTCAAAGAATTCAGGTACCTATCTTATTTTGGTACCTGGTTCCATTTAATCCATTTAACTGGGTATCCTTCTTGTGGGCAGTTGGGTATGCCCTTTTCCCCTGCTGGAAGCTATGTCAATAGGCCTGAGCTATGGGGTGGTTGGCAACTTTCAGGAGGGTTCTGGACAATTCCAGTGGTCCGGGGCTGCTGGTGGGCTTATTGTTAGGGTTATGTCCCATGAAAATTTATTGGGCTTGATGCCTTTTGCCTATTCTTTTGTAACCCATAGAAGATCTCGAGCAATAAAAAGCATGATTTTCCCGTCGTTGGGTTATCCATCAAGTGCTGAAGAAAAACAATGGCTTGCGGGCGATTTTCTGGTTTCCCTTCGAATTCTAATATTCTCGGGTCACCAGGTTTTTTATTATGACTCACATGTAGTTCGAAAGGTTGTGCGATGCACGAGGATTTGATCCTGCGTGTGAGATACGAACGGGATGAAGTTGCGCGACTTGTCCTCTTGGAAATGTGCAAACTTGGCAAACTGGAAACACAGCAATCGCTCATTGGAATCTCTGGAACATACTGTGTTATTCCACGTCAGTGTAGTTCCCCTTCATCGTACTACTTTTCAGAAGTGAAGGCTTACATTGTTTGATTCCTGAGAAGCCTGCTGCAGGCACCCCCAAGATCCCATATGGTTTGTTGAAACACTGTGCGCTTGCGGCATAGGCCCCCGCTATGCCTCGGAAATGGAAGTTGCCACAAGCCTAGCCGAGTGGTGCCCAGAAGACAGTCTGGTTGAAAGGTGGCACTGCTTTCAGTTTGGATCTGGTCTCATGGGAACTGGGGATGGGGGGAGGGGAGGGAGGGAGCGAACCTGCGACGGTCACTTTTCCCAGAAAAGGGGCCGGTTTCGAGCGAACCACCCCGAGGCCCTTCTGCCTTGCAGATCCATGGGAAGAGCTCTACAGGCGAATGAGCTGTGAATTTGAATCTTGTGGGGAACGGATCTTTAGACTTTTCCTTCTTGGTGTTGGGATTCCCTTTGAGCCCACACAAAGTTGAAAGCTGTTTGCAGAGGGGTTAGCAGCAGCCAAGGAATGGGGGAAGCCAGTGTTTTCTTTCAAACGCTTGGAGCACCCTCAAAAGGGGCTGCGCATAAATCTGCCATTGATGTCCCAAGGCCAGATGTTTTGCACTGTGGCCTGCCAAAATTGCCGCCGGCTGGCAGAAGTTTGGCTTGGTCCCTTGATCCAGACGAGGTTCACCACCTGCTCGGCGGTGTTTTTTGGGGGGGTCTTTGGTTCGGGGCACAAAAATCATATCAACCCTGGGAAGGGAAGGCCGCCTTGATCGCGTCAGCGCGCAGCTTGCCTGGTGCTGAACACCTCCGATCTCACCTGTCCACAGGCCAGCTGGCAAGGACCACAGTGGGTTCAGAAAGCCCAGACTGTGGAGGAAGGCGTGTTTTTCCTTCTTTTTTGGCAGTTTGGACGTTTTTTAGTGGTTGTTTTCTGTGTTGTTGTTAGGTTTCAGGCATTTCGCAGAGCGGCGCCGTGTCAGATCTTAGAAATGGGTTCAGATCTTCGTGGGAAGGCTGTGTGTTTTTTGTGTGTTTGTTGCATTTCCGGCATTTTGCGTGCCAAGGCTGGCAGACAGAGGGCGGCTTTTCAGATCAATTGGCCATGGGTCAAAATCCAAATCGTACCCCCAGTGAACATCCGATTCAATCCCTACTAAAATAGGTTCTAAAATGTGACCCCGAAATGGTACCAAAACGGTTTTGACCCGCCAAAAAGACGGTAACTCCAACTCCACGAGCCGAAGCTCTATCAAAGTCAAGTGATCTTACCACTAGCGCTAGAGAGAGAGAGAGAGAGAGAGAGAGAGACCCACAGCCAAATGGTTTCTGGCACTTCGCTTGACGTCCGGCATCGAATTTGACCAGCCGCAGGTGCGGCAGAGCCCGAGGTTCCGCGCCAGAGCCTCGCTTGGGATTTTGTTTGCGAGCAAAGGGCCGACAAGGATTTCCCATGGTGGACTGGTACTTTGGGTTGGACCATTTTAGTGGCCAAGATTTAAGTGACTAGTAATTTGAAGCCAGCATTTACCGCAGTAATTTAATTTGTTCGGCTTGGGCAAAAGGGAAAACGTCTGGGGTTTCAAACCGCGGCCATTTTTCGGAAAACCGCCCAGTCAACGCATAGGGCGCATGCATCGGGCTTCTGCAGGCAACAACCCGCCAGAGCAGAAGGTAGAGGCGCGCAGAGTATAGATTTGACTTCGGATTAATCCGGAGGACCCTGCTAGTCCGAAGTCAACATACCAAAGAGCCACTCTTAAGTTGTCGTTGCTCAGGGCGTCCCCTTTCCGGCTTCTTAGTTCGAGTTCCCCTAAATCTGCTGCTTGTCTTACAGAAATCATATGCAGGTTGTTTTGGTTGCAACAGAGAAAAGAACCTCCGACAGCCTTTTGAGCCCCCACACAGGTCAGGAAAGCAACGGAATGTTTGTTTCTTTGTGTGCTTGTTTCCTTAGTTTGCGTTTGTTTGTTTGTTTGTTTGTGTGTTTGTTTGTTTGTTTGTTTGTTTGTTTGATTGTTTGCTCGTTCCTTCGTTTGTTCGGGGTTGTTTGTTTTGAGTGTTTGTCTGGTTGCTTAGTTGTTTGTTTGTTTGTTTGGTTGGTTGGTTTGTTTTTCTCCCCCCCCCCCCCCGTGTTGTTGTGTTTTGTTTTATTCTGATTGCTTGCTTGTTTGTTCGGTTCGGTTCGGTTCGGTTCGGTGGTTGTTGTTTGTGTGTTTGTTTGTCCGATTGTTAGTGTTTGTAGTTTGTGTGCTTGGTTATGTGTTGGGTCGTTGGCTGGTTGGTTGATGTGTGTTCTTTTGTATGTGTGTGTGTGCGTGTGTTTGCTTGTCATTGTTTTGTGTTCAACATCTCAATCCTTGATTTACGTCTATCCCGAATTCCTCTGAACATGCTCTGAGCAAGGCCAGACCAACTTGCCCTGGCCTTTGTTTGGAATCGGCAAAGAATGAGTAATTATGGGTGTGTCTTGTTTTAGGGAACCCTCCCAATGGTGGTATGTGGTTTTCGTTTTCGTGTCCCTTTCAAAAAGCCTCAGAAACGGGGGTAGCCGCAAAAGAAAGACACACCCGCGTGGTCATTCCTTGCCAGGTGGCGAACGAGGCTCCGTGGTTGTTGGCCGCGGGTGCTTGTGGGTTAGCGTATTGATAGCAAGTCAGAAGGCGTGTTAACTGGCTTGATTGGCGCATTATAACTTGTTGAAAACAAGGGTGGAAGCGTCCGAAGCGACAAACGTATTTTAGAGTGCGCGGTGTGCGCGCCCCACATAGTATTCTATGATGCCAAGGTGCGCTGCTCACTTTGTGTTTGGGGCGCTACAACTTGCAGCTGTTGGAACGTAGGAGCCGAAGAAGTCGACATCGATCTACGACTTCTTTGAGGAGCTGAGGTACAATACAGTACGGGGGATGCCCTAAATTTTGCAAGTATATCAGCCACACCCAACCACACGACTATGCTAAATTGCGGGTAGATTAGGGTGTTGTCTTGTTCCCTTGCAATATTTTGTGGCATCCACCGAAGAAATCCGCGAGAGCTTGCAGAGCTTTGCACTCGAGTCGCGCCCGATGGAGAGTAGTTGGGTTTCCCGCCCAACTTTTGAGCCTGTCAGGAGTCCTAGGGGTAATAAGGCTGTGGCAAGTGGAAACATCGGCCAAAACCTGCATAACCCCTCCTGTTTAATTTTGAGCCACACCCATAAAAGACAAGTGTAGAGGAACCTCCTTGTGGCACGCCCTCCCCTTTTAGGTTCCACGGTTCCACGCAAATTGGGGGTGAAATGGCTTGCTGTCTTGGGCAGTGCCAGGACTCTGAGATGATGTGAGCTTGTTGAGACGTTTTCGTCGCGAGAAATGAAGCCGGCGGTACTATGGATGGACGAAATCATGGATATAACTCACACGTATTTCTATCGGTTGCTTCCCCATTCTTTCCAGGGATCCGAATCTTTCTAGAAAACCACCCAAAACCCAGGGAAAACAGCGATCGGTGTTTGAAAAGAACGATGGTTGAAAAGAATGGGGAATCAACCCCTAGAATATTGAGACAGGCTCACCTACCAACCCGTGCAGAAATTTTGTGTTCATCCACAGAATGGTTCAAGTGGCGACTCTGGATCTGAGTTCAGCGGCAAGGACGCATGTCACTTCATGTCACCGCGACCTTTGCCTCAAGCTAGTTGGGTGAATGGCCTTCTGAAATACGAGCAAGTCCTTTCTGTCCTTTGCTCTCATCTCCTTTGCTCTTGTCTGAGGCAGCATTCTCATTGCCGAAGAGTCTGAGGCACAGCCCTCAAGTTGAAACCAGCTTGGGCAAAGAGCAGCGCTGCCATGGCAGTGCAACTCGAGGGGGAGGCGACGCTAACCTCGGAAGACCAGTGCTGCCGGCTTGGCTTGCGACACGGAGCGCGCGGTATTTCTGGGGCTTGGACGCTTGTGGATCCCCAAATACTGTGGATGGACGAAATCCGTTCGCACCACTTTGAAACCGTGGTTGACTCGATTGTTTGTTGGTATTTACAGGGCAATCATTATCCCAGAGTTTCATGGGTGCAGGATTTCGTCCATCCACAGTGTGGCACCACTTTCAACAAAGTCCAACCCCCAGAGATAGCTGTCAGCTTCGACTCGGAGGGTTTCGGGCTAGATTGATACGGCTCAAATGGGTCGATATCAGAGGCTAAACGATTGCGAAGCGGCCCACGCCCCCATTCCAGTTGTGTAGGCCGTGGGGATGCGAAGGCCTGTCGGCTCAACAACCCATAAGCCCTTCTTCAGCAGCTTGAGACGGCATTGACCTTTGCTTGGACTTGCGAGAAGGTATGTGCTATTTTCTTGGGAGTCGAATCATTCCAGACGTTCTCCTCGGTGCGAAGTGGATTTCGCAACCATCCGCAGCAACTGACAGTAGTAGAAGATGGGTGTCGTGCAAAATCAAACAGCTGGGGTTACGCGTTTAGTCTTTGGTTCCATTTGCCAAGGCGCCATTTTGGTTTCCATTTTTCTGACCCACTGCCATATCTCGAGACGTAGGTGGCAGAATCAAAGAATCGTCAGTCGGCTAGTGGTCAGCTTGTAAGGGACATAAGGGGATATCTACATTTCTTGAAAGAAGAAGCAGTGTCCAAAAGCTGATTCGAAAGGTCCATAATATGGGTATGTCTTTTTTAGATCCAAAAAGTGTGCCCTCAAAAAAGACACACCCATATATGAAGCCATGGCCATGTTGGACCCTTTACTGTAAAAGGCTGACTTCCAACAGAATCACTAAGGGTGAATTAACCCATAAACTAGGAGTTATCTACCAGGGGTTCAAAGATGGCCATATACATTCACTAGGTCCCCCGGTAGTGCCCTTTACCCCTTTTTTGGGGGAGGGTTCCCCAACTAAAATAGACTACAGAAAAAAGGGTACCCTCATTCTAAACTCTCTACTGGAGGACCTAGTTAAGTCTTTGAAGTGTGACTGTGACTCACCAGTTGTTCGATGTCCTTTCGGGTGACCTCTGTTGACCGTGGCTCGGGGAATTGGCTGCTCTAACGTAACGAGCTTGCCTCAAAGGGCCAACTTTGGATCAATCCGGTCATGGAGTCCCCGGTGCTGCGCCAGCTGACTAGTATAGTCTCCATTGATTCAGAGAGAGAGGGAGAGAGGGAGAGCGGGAGAGGGAGCAAGGCCTACCTGGAGTCTCCATGACCCTTAAAAAATGGGGTCATTACCCAAAATAATGGGGTCATGGACCCATTTTTAACGGGTCATGGAGAGTCTAGGTAGTCACTGGGCGCAATGACTTTCCCCATTCGAGCTCTCGTAAGTGGGCCAGGCACAGCACCGAGGATGCGGTCCTGGCGCTGTTCAAACATGCCTTCCTAAACAATGCCGCCCAGGACTTGTTTTTCGGCCTCCAAAAGCGTCTTCTCAGCCGTGGTCAAGGTCAAGAGAGAAGCGAGGGTTGGAAGATGCATTCAACCACTTGTGCTTGTTGCAGGACATCTCCTTGCAGAGGGAGCTTCACCGCGCCTGGCTGCGGGCTGCTTAGGAAAAGTTGCAGCTCCGAGTTCCTGGAGCTCTGGAGCGTCGGAGTTCCAAGTCTTGGTGGTTCAACCAGCCATCCGGTTCCTTAGCTTTTTGGATCTGTTGAGTTGGTTTAGTGGTTGGGTTTGCGTATTTTGGCCACCAGTTCAACATTTAGTAGGGGATCTGAGGACAGAAGTGAGCTTAGAAATGGAAGTGGGGAGATTTTAACCGGAATTCTGGGAATTCTGGGAATGTAGCTCCATGTTTTTCAGAAAGACTAGAAAAATGGTCGGTTGGGGACCGCCCCCCCCCCTCCATGTGAGACGAAATCCACTGCTGCGGACCGGAAGGTTTCATGGCAAAGATGTCTCCAAGTGTTGCTCAAACGAAACGCTTGGACTTTCTGAGCTAGATATGTGAACTGATGCGCACACTCAAGCAATTCACCAGCTTCCATGGAAGGGTGGCCTATGCGGGGACATATCACCACCCCTCAATACGACCTTTTGTTGGCTGATCTTTGGCGTATTCTTAGCTCCGCGCGGATCAGGAAAAAGGGCCTTGTGTCCCTGCCGCCGAACTTCGCTGGTGTGGCGCACAGATTTTGCCAAACAAGCTTTAAGATTCCTCAGTTGAAACAGCAATGTGAGGCGTGTATGCCATGATCAAAAGACCCCTTTGCTTGGGCTAGGGTTGGTATGGATGGTCAACATCCTAGGCTTCCATTTTCTTAAGAATGTTGTTTGTTTTTCCTTGTTGGTTGTAAAGGAAAACTATCGCTGCTGAAAATATGGTTTACTTTTTTGTGGGGCTTAAGCAAATGGAAGTAGGGTTTTAGACAAAGGATTTTGTTGACCAAGGCCTGGACGCCTCAAGGCGGGCCTCGAGCGTGAGCATGAGCGCCTTTGATCGCCTGACTTGCAGGCCTTGGTTCGTTTTCTGGATCACCCACGCCTTGGAGCTTCTGGGTGATTATGACGAACCCCATTGGTCCTACCAGGCCGGGTCGCCCCATTGGTCGACGTATACGTTGTTGGGGCTACAGTCTGCGAGGGGTTGATCAATATTCCGTTTAGGGCCCCCAAACGACCACGATTCACTTTTCCATG